CTGCACTTTTATAAGTATACTTCAATAATTATAAATATCACCTTCTTTCAGAAAATGCATTTAATTTAGTCATATATGCAACATAGAGTCACCTATGAAAAAGTAGCCTACTTGTTATGTAATGGAAATGCTGTGTTCGAGGGCAGAGGGCTTCCTGAGAAGGAAAGAAGATTAAGGAAATTGGAACTAAATTCTACTAGCATTCCATTAGTAATTACAAGGATTTACAAATTACAACAGTAATTAATAAAGAATGTGATATGCAATCACAACAGAATACCAAAAATGCCAATAACTATTTCTAGAACCTATTGAGTAGTCACTAACATTATTTCTTGGGCCTAATATCTAACTATGAATATTGAGCTGGGATTGAGCATAACACTATTGTTTAGATGGTAAGATGATGGATACACAAGTTTGACCAACTATCCATGTATTCTGAAATAGAAGTCTACAATGTTCATTTTAGTAAGTTGCTTTTATTTTACTGGTGGTCTATGCTCTGCAGTAATGTTTACACGACATTAGTCCAAAGAATTAATTGTATAACACGACAATTTATGTTGTGTAATTCAAGGGTGAGGCACTTCCCAAGAGACTCAAGTCAAAACTTAATTAGTGAAATTGACATAGTAATTGCCCTCGCTGGTTTGGTTACTATTACTAATTTTAAGTTTTTTACCACAAAAAGATTCAACCTCTTATAAGAAGTAAATGCTAGAAAATTATTTACCTTGACCATTAGCTGCATCTACCATCCAGGAATTCAAAGCCATCTTTGAAGGTTACCAGACGAAAATGCTCATTAGCATTATTATCTAAGTCCAACTTTGAAATATTATGCCCCTCTTTTAAGAAGTAATTGAACTGCCTGTTGAGATGATAGACTTGAATAAATTATTTCGAATTAAGTCAATATAGGATTTAGTTTAATAAAATTCAATTTCTTACTAATTCATATTCTAAAAATAATTTGATTTCTCTTGCATTACTTCAACAAGTAATTGAAACCGATTATACTTTTCTAAGAAACAAATAATAGTACACTGCACATGAGTACTCTAATCCTGATACTTGTTTTTTGTTACCTACGTTTCTGTAAAGGATGAAAATATGTAAAGGAGGAAATATGTCAAGTATAGAATTAGAATTAATAAAAGCATACAATTGTGAATTGTGAGCCAAAGGAAAACTTTGCCTTATTAGTTACACATGTCACAGCGCAAGTTACACTTTGTAACTTTGCCTTATTAGTTACATGTAAGCTATAATATCTCTTTGTCCTTACATGATTTAATAATTTAATTAACCAATATCCAATGCATTACTTTTCTTGCTATTTTTCATTTGTGTTCACACTTTCACCCTCAAAAGTAATAGTTTTTTAGCTTGTTACTCGATAAATTACATTTATTCATGTCAATTTTAATTTGCAGCTTATGATCCTCGGATATCTTTTTAAAACTTTCGGTGAACTGTCATGTTTTCATTTATAATTTTGGTTGCATTTATATAGATATTTAAATGATCAATTGTTTCAAAGATTTGATGATCAATTGTTATAAATATGTAGTGTGACTGTGACTGTGCTGGTTATTAATTCTTGTTTATGTAAATGTGTGGTAAATTTGTACTTAATTTATACTTGCAACAAGTGAAGCACATTAATTTATAAATATGTTGTTGCAGGGAGATTCTAGCTTACTTGATTGCTACAAGAACATATATAGGGGTAAAGCCAGCTCCAATCATAGTTGTATTCTCGACCAGGGGTCCCAATTCTGTGCAACCATTGATGTACATTTTTTCTCAAATTATGGTTGTTTCCCTTTTTGTTTCGAACTGTAAGGGAATGTTATGTTAGTGTGTGCTTAGAATGTTAAGATATGGGACTTGATTGGATGTCTAATATGTATTTGGAAAATGGAATGATATAAAAAAAATTTGATTTAACTTTTCCCAGTTCCTTATTCTGTTCCTTATTCTCTCAATCGTTGTCTGTGCGTGGCGGGTATGGTGTTTGTGCAGTTATTTGATGCATAGCATTTGGTTAAGAAAACTTGTAAGAAGGGGGTTTTCAAAATATGTTGTGCTCAAAGTGTGTGGATATCCTCCAAAGTCTCACATCAGATAGTTTTGAAGTAGGGAAGTGGTAGATTACTACTATAAATAAGGGGTTATAGTTTCGGTCTACTCACCACAACAACTCTAGTTCTTGGGTTGGGGACTTGGGTAGTTGTGTGTTAAGAGATGGTTTGCAGTTTTTTCGTGCAAAAATTGTGTGAGAATGTTTGTAATTTTATCCTTGTAAAAATTGCAAGTGGAGAAATAAAATAATTTATTGAGTGTATTTGTGGATGTACGCAAGAATTGCCGAACCACGTTAATTTCTGAGTTTATTTCTCTATTTTTGTTTCTCTCGTGTGTGTGCTTCCGCTGATGAAGTTTTCTTTTCCCTCTAGTGCCCAACAAGTGGTATCAGAGCCTGTTGGTGTGGTGGGGCTCTGTGGGATTTTTAATTCGTAGTATGCTCAGTGGTTGCAGCATTGTTTGATCTTCCACATGAGAAAAGAATTGAGGTTTTAACCAAGGGAGGAAGAGAAGCAGTGTACCAGGGAGGAAAAGATGTCCCGCACTCATGAGGAAAAGAAGGAGTTTCCAAGTTTCGCCAGAAAACTTGTGAGGAAAGGGTTTTCAAGTTTTACCAGAAAACTTGTAAGAAGAGGTTTTCAAGTTTCGCCAGAAAAACTTGTGAGGAAGATGATTTTCAAGTTTCGCCAGAAAAACTTGTGAGAAGGAGTTTCCAAGTTTCGCCAGAAAACTTGTGAATGATGATGGATTAATGTGAGACTTGGGATGAGGGGAGGATATGTTGGGCCCAAAGTGTGTGAGTATCCTCCAAAGTCTCACATCAGGTAGTTTTGAAGAAGAGAAGTAGTAGACTACTACTATAAATAATGGGTGATAGTTTGGGTCTATTAACCACAACAACTCTAGTTCTTGGGTGTATTGGGGACTTGGTAGTTGTGTGTCAAGAGAGGGTTTGCAATTTTTCCGTGCAAAAATTGTGTGTGAGAGTTTGCAATTTTATCCTTGTAAAAATTGCAAGTGGAGAAATAAAATAATTTGTTGAGTTTGTTCGTGGATGTAGGCAAGAAGTACCGAACTATGTTAATTTCTGAGTTTATTTCTCTATTTTTGTTTCTCTCGTGTGTATACTTCCACTAATGAAGCTTTCTTTTCCTCTTGTGTCCAACAAAAGTCCAATGGTAAATGTTGATATAGTTAAAGAGATTCTCCTGGTTTTGCCATTATTATAGGATAAGGTAATATCCTTGCTAGACATGCAAAGGATGAAAAAAATTTCTATATGTATGACATCAATAAGACTTTTTCTATATGCACCTTTTATTCTCACTGATTTACCAGTACTATAGCACCTAATATTCTAAACTCAAGCCATTTTCTCTACTCCTTCTTACCTTGAAAAAACAGTTTATGTTTAACGGCCTAACACTAATGAAATTATACTTTTGAGTTTTGTTCTCTCTATGTGGGTGAATCAAAGACCATCCCTCTTGACTCTGCTTTGGAGGAAAGTAGTAGCAATCGTCTTGGGAATAAGCTGCAAGTGGCTGGAGAGCTCATTCTTGGGGCAACAACTCCATGCTTAAAAGGAAAGCACCCTTTAGTAGCTCATATGATTCAGATGAGATTAACCGGCTCAAAGGGGGCATTCGTAGATTGAGCGAGAATACTGGCCGATTTAGTCATCAGTTTCAATCATTTGTTGGTGTTATCTTAACGATTCTACCACCTGATGCACAAAACATTATTCATCAACAACAAGATGATCAGGAGCTACAACAAGAAGACTAATAGCAGCAAGACCACTAACATCCGACTATTCTGATTATTATATTGTAAAGGGAAATATTATATGAGTTAATCACCTATATACTGTCAGTATAAAGTTTACAACCAATTATATCTTTTAATTGTGTCATGTTACTGTTAAAAATAAATGTGTTTATAATGAATGGTTGGACTTCAGTGTATATAGGTGACTAACTAATAATATATTACTTACGTTTAATATTTCTTATGAATTGTTGGATCTATGTTTTAAATGAATGTTTACTTCATAAACATGGTTTGATGATTAATTAGACACCAATGGATCTTTTAAAAAAAATTATTGTTATTATTATTAATTTGTGTAGTCTTATATATTATTTTTTAAATTGAATGTTTGGATTTGAAAAATATTATATTACCAACAAATAATCTGTCAAGAATATAAAACTAATTTTCATGGATTACTGATGGAATTGACAAATATTTCTGTGAGAAATTGGTTCTTCCTTTACCAACGCAAATTCCGTCAATAATATCAAAAGAAAGTGTTAAAGCAATACGTTGTCTAATATCCTTAGTTACTTTCCCCACTTCGGTTTATATGATTTGAATAGCTGAGTAATGTTGAAATAATTCAATCTTAATTAGGAGTTATTTCTAATTTATAAAAATTATTTTAAATATTCCTAATATTTTAGGTTTTGCTCTGCGATACGAAGAGATGATCTGATATTTTTAAATTTGATTTTTATTTGTGTTAAAATAATATTCGATTAGTAGAAGTCACATTTTATAAGTAAAAATTAGTTTTTGATTGTTGGCTTAGAACATTGTATAAATCGTATCTATGAAGGAAAAAAAATTACATATATGTATTAAGAAGGCATATATGTTCTCAAATGAGTAAAACTTCAATTAATACCTTATATTATATCAGTTAGTTATTTTAGTTTTTACATTGTTGATATTTAACTATAGTTCCCGAGATTTTACAAAACTTCTTTCACGTTAATTGTGTTTCAGTAATGTTAAGGAGTAACATGAACTACGCTTTCTAAAATGAAGCACCAAAGTGAATTTTTAATAAAATCAACTTTAGTGAGGGTTTCTTCAATCCGAAATTACAGCACCTCTTTCTCACACATACTCAAAAGGGAAGAAAAACAAAATAATATTGCGATGTATATGATAATCTCCGAGGATTGGTCACCATTGCCATAAGATATATACCACACACATCTAATCACTAGATTGGGCTAAGAAGGCAAACAGTCCAACCCATTTGAAGGATGAAACAATAAAATTAACTGGAAGGGAAACCCACCCAAAAATAAAATAATGAAAAGAAAACTTGTTCTTATTAGAACACGTTTATTGTTGGATACTTGGATCAATGTTGCTTTGTAACTTCGCTCCAATTTTGTATAGCCTGAGACACTACTTCCTCAACTACTCGTGCATTCACAAGATGGGTACCTTGATTGTTCTCCTGGGAAAACAACAAATAATTCATTGGGTCAGTGCCTCCACTCAAATTAAGGTCATACGTTTGTGATAATATATATTTTTTTCATTTTCCACAAATACCATTTTCCATAACTAATTTAATTTGAATACCATCAAACACTAAATGTTTGACACGATATATCTAAACAGAAATTTGAATCTTGGCATGAGAACTGTAGCTCCTTCAACTAGAACCAAATTCCGTTGATAAGGGTAATAATACTCATGATATATAGAGTTACATGCATTTTATTTTCCGTTTGAAATGCATGTGTTTAATCTATAAACATAATTCACAGTGTTTTAAAACTGACGATTAATGACTTATCTGTGTTATTGAAATGTGATTTCAGTTGATAAATCAGTATTTTAAAACTCAAAGCGTTATGTATTTGTGTGGATGTTGAAGTGAGTGTTTCACATCATTAGTTACTTACTTTGATTCCAAATGCTTCTAAACAGAAGGTGTCCACACAAGAAGCCCTAGCCTGGAGAACCTCTAGACCAAGCCTTTCAAAGGCTTCCAATATGAACGCCAACAACCCCTGGCAACTCCTTTGACTCAGCACCTTTATCATAAACCCCTCCTCTTGCTGTTCCACTTTAAGCTGCAAAAACATTAGCAAATAGCAAGCATAAAGTAATTACACAAAATATATACATGGAAAGGGGTATATACATAAGACAAAAGATTCCTTTCAAAATATATCGAGTTCTTAATTGTATCATACCATAGGCATTGGACCATAGTCAATGACATTTTGGGCTGCAGCAACTGCTAATTGGTTCAGTTCTTGCAACTTTTGCTTTAGACCACGTATATACTCCGATGCATCCAGTATCACAGAGGTTCTACGACGCTGCATAAACAAAACAAGCAAAATTCCATTATATCTCAACATGAACTTTAGTCAATTCTTGAATTTATTTGGAGAGGAAAAAAAGCATAAGCACAAGAGGCAAAATATCTGAATTTATCTCATGTTTAATCCACGAGAATGAAACTCAGTATCAGGACGTTTACAACAATTTATGAACACTGTTCAACCAACTGAATTGTGAACTTGTCTTTGTCCCATGTATTGATATCAAGTTTAATGGTTGTATTCAAATATGAATATACACAGAGAAGCTTGGAGTAAAACGGATGGAGTAGATGAGATAATTAAATGGAGAAAAGAATATATGTTTGAGAATGATCACCGCATGGGAGTTTGTGATTGAACGAAGCTGTTGTATGCTCCTACACAGTGATGTTCTCTTGTGAACCCTGGAAACCATTATCTCTCTCTCTCTTACTCACTCTCTCTCTCTCTCTCCCACACACTATGAAGAGAGAACTATATATATATAAAGAAATCCAAACAGAAGAGGATGGTTAGTGAAAAGGACGAGAATACAAAGAATCTTGTTGGTCACATGTGAAACAGATATGGAGTTACCGTAGGTAGGAATTGTTTTAACCTTTAACTTCTCGGGACAACCTTGTTTTTTTCCTCCTGATAAATTGTCACCCGAGCCATCTTTGTTCTGTCAGCGAATTAAAGCCTACTTTGATATGCAGTATGTAGGAAAATTCCTTAGGCTGCTCCAGACATTTATAAATCAATAGAGTGTTACGAGATATATAACATCTTATTACTTGTGACTAAGGGCATAATCTTATACCAATGCTTGTGGGAATATTGTGTCATAAGGATAGAAAAACCAGTGGCTCATGTCATATGTATGTAAGACTGTACAAGTTGCATTAAATATGATTATGTTTGTACAAATGTGGCTGTTAATTAAGATGTTGGTGTAATTTTGGAGTAATTCCTAAAAAATTAAAAATCAATATCATTATAATAACAAGTGGTCCTGCCTCGTAGGAGACCACGTAGACACTAATGGCAGATAATGAGACCCCATATGAAATTCAAGTTGTTACACACCCATTATTAAGATCAACTCCATCTTGTGAGCCTGATCAATAAAATATGGATAACCAATTAGCCAACCCCTGGTATTCAATCTCTCCCTAATACTCACATGCATCTTTTATATATATGTTGATTTGAACCCCGAAATCATGATTGAACAATCTTGGTCTGGTTCAAATTAATTTCACTAGTTGAGTCTTAATTTTTTTTTTTCTTCTCATTTATAGGTTCTCACTAGGGATGGCAAAACGGGTCAGTCCAGCCCGTTTTGGCCCGGCCTGCCATTGGCCCGTCAAAAAGGGGCCGGCCCGACCCGGCCTGTCAATGTAAAACGGGCTGGGGATGCTGGCCCGTCCTGTCTAAGAACAGGCTGATGGGCCAGCCCACATAAAAAAAAAAATGAAAAAAAATATATTTTATATTTAAATAAAAAAATTGCTACAAATAAATAAATATAACCATATGAAATTAAAAATGCATATATATTGTACATAATATATGTTCAACAAAAGTAAATTACAAACTTAGAACAAAATTAAATAGAAATTAGTTCACTTACACCAAAATCAAAACCAAATTAGAAACTTACAAATTGCTTATAAACTAAATTTTTTGGTAGTTTACAAAACAAGTTCACATACAATTAATTAACTTTGAATTTTTATTTTAAAAATATTATAAGCTCTCTTGGAAGAAGTTGTCTCTACTTTTTTTCTTGATCATCTTCATCCTCATCTTCTACATCAAAATAAAATAAACATAAGGATAATTAAATAAAAAAAATATGCGGGCCGGCGGGTTATGGCAGGCCGGCCCGCTATTTGGCCTGACGGGTTGGCGGGTTTGTCGGGACGGGCTTGGCAGGTTGGCGGGTTGAAATGATGGGTCCTGCCCGCCAATTTTTAGCGGGCCCACAGGCCACGACCCACTTTGTCATCCTAATTCTCACAATCCTTATTTATCTAATTAACTAGTGTCATTAAATGAACTAGTAAAATCAACTTAAGAAAAGTTTAAGTAGTATATATAAAATCTTAAATTCTAACCTTACCGTACACATTAAAAGAAAAAAAATTGCTGTCCTGACAAATTGAATGTGATTCATGTTGTTGAATCGTAATATTTATGGGATTAAAAATGTGCAAGTGCACAGATATATTTTAAAAAAATAGAAATATTTATAAAAAAAAATAGTACAATATATAGAAGACATTATTTTATTGATAAACATATTTTATAAATAGATCAAAATATGTTATATTATATATTTTTATAGAATATATTAATACTAATATTAAGCAATTATAATCCTTATATTCCGATTGGTGGATTCAATTAATGAAATTTACTTTTAGTAAAAAGTTGTTGCAAATGTCATTTTACAAAATATAGTGAATGATGTCAATTCATCATATTTGTCTCTCTCTTTGAACAAATTTTATAATATGAAACCATTTTTTTTATTTGAATTCCAGAAATTATATCTTTAAATAAAAAAAATATTGCATTAATCTTGGAAAACCTTATTGAGCATTAATCTAATATTGATGATAACGTTGATTAACAGTACAAAGTTATTTCAACTAAATTAGTGATTTCAAATTCAAGTTTTGAATAATTATATTAAATATATATTTAGAGGAATTTTTTTTTTATTTACAGTAATTTTATTCAACTCAAACATAAATGTCTATATAGTAGAAGATATTTGGATGTGATTTTGCACATTTCATATGTGGTTTTGAAAAGCTAATACTTATAACTCCTACGTTCTCTTCTGCACAAGATTCTTTTATCCTGAACGAGTGTGGAAACACAATCAATATCCTTGTTTGAATGTAATTTTCAGTGATGACTGATGAAGATGGAGAACAAGGAAATGGACAAGCCCTGCAAGCTGGTATAGGTGTGTTGTGTCCCGTGTGAAATAAGCGCGGTCTGCATCATACGAAAGAGGAAGCGTGTGGGGTCAGTAATAAGGAAACAGTTTATACGTTTGTGAAAACAAACGTTCTTCTGCATGGGAACGTGATGATGAACGAGATGGTGATGCATTGGCGTCAGTGTTGTTTAAGTTACATGCTGGAAAGGAATCTCAATCGCTGATTGAGACACAAATCCATAGTAGCAATTAAGTGTCAAAAACATATATTTTGGATGCCTCCAAGCTTTTCTCACGGGGAACGCTTTCTCTTTCTCTCTCTCTTCTTCATTCAGCAAAAGGTTAAATATATTTTGTTTTTTTATTATGGGGTGCTGAGAAGGAAAAATCGATGCAATTTCTCAATTCTTTTTGCGGTTTCTCTCCAAACCTAGAGTTAAAAACTTTCAAGATCTGTCGTGTTCATTCTGTCCTTATTATCTGATATTAATATGTTGGGGAACGATCAAAGTAAAATGAAATAAATAATAAAAAAAAGTAACATTTTAAATTTTCTGCTGGCTTTTTCTCATTACAGTTATTTTAAAATTTTAAACAGGTAAATGGAAAAAAAATAAATTTACCCTATTTTTGTCTTCACTAAAACTTTAACTTAGGATTCCTATCAAAATCCTCAGCTCGATCCCTTCACTATTTAGTTAACAATAAATTAATCTCAATACTGCAACGCTATACTGTTACGTACTATTATTATGTATCTTTAGGATACTTTTTATTTAGTTTTCTTTTTAATTCAAACCTCTTATTTAGTTTAGATGAATATGAAGGAGATGCAAAGGAATAAATTACGATAGAACAATAAAAATAGAGAATAGAATAAGATTATCTCGTGTTATTATATATATAGATATTTTATAATATATAGAATAGAGAAGAAAAAAATTTACTATTAACAAAATGTGTGAGGAAATTAATAAGTATAAATTATTTTCATCCCAAAACCTCAAATTAAAGGTGGATGTGACACGTGAGAGAAAAAAATAGTGGTGTTAGATTAATGAGTCCAATGATATAAAAGAGTTTTCTCATTCAGTGTTACTACTCGATTCTAACATGTCAGTTTATAAAGATACTTGTGATTTATATAAAATAATAATAATAATACAGAATATGTTCAGCATAGATTTATTTTATTCTTAACATCTTTTAGACAATTTAATTCGATCGTGATGACTATTTGTTTTATTTCACCTTCATTAATTCATCTATATATAATTTGTTCATCATCAAGCATGTTAAAGATTAATTTTTTTATCTGTTAAAATTACAACAACGGTAACATAGTTTAAATATAAGATTATGTGTATATTATCACAACTTTTTTTTATCATTAAGTCAACTCTAGTGATTTTAAAGATTAAGTTTTTTTTAAGTTATATAAATTGTTAAAATAAATTTTCTTTCCTTTAATAAAGTATTTAAATTAAGAATTAAATCTTAGTTCATATTAGTTTTTAAATAAAGCCTAACCAGTAGTAAGTACTATTAGTTTTTAACAATACAAATTAATTATTGCTAAAAAAACAATACAGATTTTTTTTTTTACTGAAATACAGATTAATTTATGAGAAATGTTACTTAGATGAAAATTCTTATACCAACTAATATTATGATTAAAATGGAATTATAAGGATCGGTCTAAAGGTATAGATTTCGAGTAGTATGGGCAGAGTTTTATATTTAAATTGTGTTACCATTATTATGATTTCTATGTATAAAAAATATATTAGATTCAAAATCATGTTAAAATTAATAGTTAGAAAATAAAGAATAGTGACTAGGTGTCAGAAGATGCAGTAAAAATTAAAAAGGTGTTAGAAGATGAAAAATTTATTAGTTAACATTCATTAAATGGCTAAATATTTCAAGTTTATTAATATTGCCCAATTAATGGTTATTAAAATTAAGTCCAGTTAATGTGTTAATTAAATGATCATATAATGGTTAAGTATAGTCAAGAATTACTCTACTATATACTATAAATAGAGTATCAATTCATGTAATATGTGTGACAAAAAAAATACACTCCCAATTGTTTTTATAGTCTACTATATTTTTCTAACATATAGTGATATCAAAGTTTATAATCTTTGCATGAAGGCCTTGTTAGATTCCAAAGACGTTTGGGAGATTATAGAAAAAGGTTATATCCAACTAAAAAATAATGTTACATACATTGTTACAAAATGAGAAGTAAATTTTATTGAAGATGAAGAAAAAGAATTAAAAAAAAAAACATGTTAATTTATCAAGATTTAGATGAAGTCATGTTTAAGATGATGTCTAATGTATTATAAACTCTATGTAAAGAGTTTGAATCTTTAAGTGCGAAGGATATTGAGTCAAATTTGAATTTTTCCAATAAGGTAGTAATTAATGTGAATCAAATTATGGAGAAAAGATGGAAAATGTTAATGATGTGAAAAAGATTTTTGGTTCTTTAATTAACCACAAAATTTCTTCTTCTTTTTTTTTTT